TTTTTTTTACATTAGGAAAATTTAGGGTGTCTTCAAAGTAGACGCTTAAATCGTGTACCGCTAATATTAAATTTTTATTATTATTATTAACATTAATCGTGTGCGCCGCTAGTTACCCAAGGAGCACACTTTATAAGCCTTAAAACTGTTATATTTATAAACAGTCTTAATATGGTATAGATTTAGATAATAGTTCTCTATAAATGGTTTTAGAAAAAATAAATTGTTCTTATAGACTTATTTCACTCAAGTCAAAATTTTAACACCTTCTTAATACCAAACCACTTAATTAAGTGTAATATCTCTTAAGATTTACTCTTATAGTCCTTATTTTAAGTTCATCTGTAGAACAACTGATTATTTTTAGTAAAATTGTTCTATACACATCCAGTGAAGCCTATTGTTCTAAAAACTAGTGTTCTTAAGTTTATTCTAGATATATTTAATTTATAGACATTCTGTAGTGTTTGTACTTATTGACAAACACGTTATAGCGCGTTTTCAGTAGATTGTATTTAAAAAAATACTACAATCAGGGTTTTTACTCTATTGGACGTTGTAAGAGTTCATGCAAAATGGATAAAGTAAAGAATATTAAAAGATCTGGTGGAGGTGGTAAACTTTGGATATTAAGTCACATCATTTGATACAATCTGCGTTGCCAATGCCAATTGTTCAAAATCCCCAAAAATCACTTTATAATAATAATAATAATAATATACACACTCAACATAGCTCCGCACTAAGGAAACCCTGTGTCGCGGTTGCCATGGACACATGAAAAAAGCTTTCAATTCTTGTCACCATTTTTATTTTTAAAGAATGACTATGAAGTAGCCGAGAAAAATTTCTTTTCTTTTTAAAAAGCAAATCTAAGTTGAAATTAGCTTGAAGAAACCTAGAACTTCTTGGAAATGGTTTGTTTTGTGAGTTATTTTATATATTTAAGCTTTCTATAAATATTTAAAACCGAAAATCGATAACTGTATTTTTATTAAGTTTATATTTTATACATAAATATTTAAAATTTAGGGAGCGCATTACTTTTATGGTAGATTTTACATCACTTTTCACAATGTATTTAAAGTCGCACGTCAATTTGCGCTTTCCAACCGAATAAACATTGCGCGAAAAAGTCAGAAATATTATATCTAATTTCGCCATGTTGCAATTTTGATAGTTTATATTTTGTAAGCCATTAAACTTGAAATCTATTAGTATTAAGAGAATTGCGTCCTATGTTTGTAACGCTTTAGTATTTTGGTTTTAAAATAGCATTACTAAGAAAACTATCATAGACTATAAATTATCTAAAAACTGTCTACAAGACTAAATAAAAACTCTACATTCTACAAATGGTCTTGTAGCGTTCTAGAAGGGTTACTTGAGAAAAAAAGATAAGAATCACTCTTAACTTAACACTCTTAACTCACTACCTACAGATAGTTTCTCAAAGCACTCTTGTGATCTACTAATAAAGTTGTGCCCACTTTTACTTTAAATTATCTAGAAACTTCTTCGAGATATCTTGAGGGAATTTGAACTCTTAAAATATTCAATCGAATTAAATTCTATTAGATATCTTATAGTATATATTTAGATATGGGTGTGCTGCTTGGGTATTTTCATGCAAGTGTTGCAGTGCACGCGCACGCCCTTTTGCAGTCACAATTAGACGTCGCGCAAACGTGTTTCTTGTGATTTTTCTAATATCAAGTGACAGGACGAATAACTCGTGCACCTGCTGTTAAGTAACACGCCTGTCTATAACAGTTGCGGTGCCACTCGAAGCTTTAAATCGCACAGATTTGGGGGGCACTGCCACTGCGCCCGTCACCCTGAGACATAAGTTGACAAGTCTCTGTGTGCCTGTAGTTTCACCAGCACCCTAAGTAACTAAAGCACTGGTGTTATGGGAATCGGTAACAATATCGTCATAGAAAGGATGAAAGCGCCATTTTGGAAAAATTTTCAGGTGAGCATGTTTTAGGTTTTAATATCTATTTTAACATACTTACGTACTATGTTAAAATTAAATTTTGGTTTTAATTAAGTTTAAGTTTTAAAATTAAATTTAAAACAGGTCGTTAATATTTTAAAACGACGTCCCTGAAAGGTTTTCGAAATCACGCTTTCGCCCTTTCTACAAAACTCCAATGATATAGTAAATTTAGTTTTTCTACATTGAGCCGTTCGGGATCGAACCCCGGGAGCTTAGAGATGGCGGTACTATGAAAGTAGCAGTGGAGCTCCTTGTGAAAGAGTTCGTCCAGACAGTAATAATAGCATTACTGTGTTCAGGTTTTGAAAGGTAAGGTTGCTAGTGAAATTACAGGCACGTGGAACTTGTCAGCTTATGTCTCAGAGTGTCAGGCGCAGTGGCAGTGCCCCTAAGATCTTTGCGATTTAAAGCTCTGAGTGGCACTGCAACCGTTATGGTCAGCCGTGCAGCTTACCATCAGGCGCACGACTTGTTCGTCCCGTCACTTGATATTACAAAAAAAATACCGGTGTGAAGTGTGAGAGTGTCTGTCTGGCTGACGGTCTTTAATTCGAAGCTGACGGTATCGCCTGTGCTGATCAAGTTGTTGCCGGATTTTGTTTTCTATGGTGCACGCCTCTAAGGCGATTATCACTCTGCCACGCACCACGCAGCGGAATGGGCGTGACGACTGATCATGCGCCCCGCACTCCCGTGTTTACAAACTAAGATACTTCGGTACAACGTTGAAACACGAAGCTCCTCGTACCGTTGCGTGTCACGGAACAGTGTAATAATCGCCTCAGAGGCGTATCCGCCGGGTTATCACAGGTTATCCCAAAAATAATATGTAATCTGACAGCTCGCAACTAAGAAAGGGATGTCCTGAAATTGAATTAAATTTGCACCTGTGCTATGATCGAGTGTCATTGACAGAACAACTGGCACTGGTTTGTCCCATTAATGCCATGAGAATACATTTTTATATTTTATTTAATATCACGTGACGTGAAGATCTTAGGGGCACTGCCACTGCGCTCGTCACCCTGGGACATAAGGTGACAAGTCCCATGTGCCTGTAATTTCACCAGCACCCTTCCCTTTCAAAACCGGAACACAGTAGTGCTGACATCACTGTTTGGCGGTAGAGATAGGTGAGCTAGCAGTACGTCTCTGGACGAACTCTTTCACAAGGAGTTGTACTATTACAGTGCTAAACCGGGGTTCACTTTTCAAAATTTAAAATTATAAACTTGTAGTTTTTAATTAGGTTTTGGTGAAGTTCCTGCCACCATAGAGACGTTTATATTATGTCGTTTAGACATTTGTATCTGTTTATAACTCGATTACGACGAGTAACGTTCTTGAATGTATTATTTTAAACTGAAATGTCACTATTATAAAGGCACACTATATATATAAGGTCAAGGTATTCAGCAATCACTTATTTAGTAAATATTTCAAATTTATCATTATACCGTTCTACTTTGGCGTTAACATACAAGCTTAAAGATGACTACAATATTCCGAAAACTTTTAATATTGTGTTTTTCGTCTCATATTATTATCAGTGGAGGTGAGACTAGTTTGTTACTTTAGTTTTAGTTCACGGCTTATCTTTAAGGGTTTGACCAAGTCACAACGATTATTGAAATTAAGGGAAATTAAATGAGGTTTATTTGTATTGAATAGGTTATTAGGGGATGGTAATTATTGCATTTGAGATAGTTTGAGAGTATTGAAAGTAGTACTCGTTGTTATTAATTTCCTTACTAAAAGAATAATAATAATAGTCCCTGACCCCGGCCGACTGTGTCATAGCCAGGAAATACCGCCTCTCCCAATTAAAAATTCGAAATTAATCTTTTAACGTCAAAGCGGGTGCCGTGAATCGATAAATTGTCGTCACGATTTAGTGGGAACAGCTAGACACGACAGTCGTCCAACGATAAATAAAACGTTACAACATTATGGGAAGGAACATTACGTGTCGCTCAGAGCGCTATAACTCAGTAATTTTCCAGGACATGTAAATATTATTTAAATTTGTTATAATTATTACTTGGTATTTGGTGTAACGAGCTGGTGTCCGCAACTCGACGTCAAGGCGCCTATTTTGCGTGTGGTATAATTATTAATACAAAGATCGAACACAGAAAAAAATTCTTCGATCCGGCCGAATTCGAACCGACGAAGCCGGAGTAATTTCACAAAAAATAATTGAATATCAATTCAATAAAAATTTAATTATAATAAATAGCGACATTTCTAGTCGGGGCTGATAGCTGTAAAGGTATGCACTGGGTGACGAAATACTTTCATAGATTTCTCATAGACGGCGCTACGGCTAAAAAGTCGTTAAACCAAATACAAAGATCTGACAACAAGGACATAGATAAATTCGTGAGGTCCGAGGTTCGTTCGTGGCTTAGTTGGCATAGCTTCTGACACGGTTTGCTAGAAGACGTCGGTTCGAATCCGGCCGGATCGAAGGAATTTTTTCTAAATGTTCGACATTTTGTATTAATAATTATAACAAACTACTTGAGTAATATCGAGTTCTTAGGTTTTCGCGATTGTTACACATACATAGGAATGAAACTATTTTTCCGGATTTAAATCGCGTATATTTGTTTTTTCAAACAAACCGACGTTTCGGGCCCTTTACAGGTCCCATGGTCACGGTTGACTTTACACATGGTCACGGTTTACTGGAGTAATTTCACAAAAAATAATTGAATTTGTATGAAATAAAAACTTGATTATTTAAATTTATTTATACAACACTTACACGAGCATCTATCCTAAGATCTAAGTTCGTTTGTTTTCATTGTCCGGCGTGGACAATAAGTGGCGACCGTTGGATACAAGTCTGGAATCTTCGTAAGAAATCAGTGGAATTCTTCGCTACGACGACGTCGAGCAGACTACGGGGCTCAACGGACCTACAGATTTGAATTTGTAACAAATACACAATGAAATTGTAATTTGATTAAATCAAAATTTGATTTCATCAAATCCATGATTTGCTCGAGTGAAATGATAAAGTAACACGTCTCGGAAACCAGCGATTCATGATTAGAAATAAACAAACCAAATCCTATGACTGTCGAAGACTGCGAGAGTGTTGTTGCAATTTAACTTGCCCATATTTTTCGACGCATCCTCATAATTTTTTAAAATCGAAAATATTTTTTGTATACAATTTAATTCTAGATATTATACTCTAGCTACTGTAGTACTTAAAAGGTATTAATCGGGGTAACAGGCCCTTTCGATCGGTGCTAAAAAAGGCATGTATTTAAATGATGATTTTAAATTTGCACTGGCAGCAGGTACAAAAAATCTAAACAGTAATATTTTTAATGATTCATCCTTTTTCGCTGAGACATGAAATATATTAAATCGATGGATATTTTAATCTGTTCTGAACTACGCAAAACATGTTTGATTTGTATAAATTAACTTTGATTGTTTTATGTTGGTCCTCAAGACAAAGACAAATGAACATTAAAAATCAAATTTAGACACTTATTTTTAAAACTAAGTAAATATTGATCACATTTGTATACTAATATGTATTATATCAATTATAATATAATTTGACCAAAAAACATGTTCGGAAACGCAAGCGAATTGGCTTCTGCTTTTTTATATACGAACCTAACCTAACCTACTGAATGGGGGGCGCAACCCATAACCAAGATTTATTGGGAGATCAATATCTAAAGATATACTGGTTGTAAATGTCATCAATCGTTAAAAGAAAAGTCCAGTAATAAAAAAGATGTTCAAATATTACTTTTGAATACCAAATATTAATTTAGTATGTTTAAACAAAATAATAGTGTTACCTCGAATGTAGTTCATTTATAATTTATCCGTAGATCAACTAATATAGACGAAACAAATAATATATAAAAATATAAATACAATAGATCAATTATTTTCTTGAGGATCAAATAATATCCCATTTTATTTGTTTGTGGTGAGAGTACCGACCTTCATGAAAAAGGAGTTCAACCCGAAGGGTGTCGTATATCGGCGATTCCGCCGCCAGCTACCTAATGCCAGATAGCGCCACACGTTGCTGACAAGTTTTTATATTATATTATATAACAATGTATGTTAGTCCTTAAGATACACTTTATATGGGCGATAATCGCCGGATTCAAATGGATAAATATAAAAAAATTAAATAAATGTCGTGCTAAGTTAATCATTCCCTCCGTTTGTAACTGCTATTTTCTTTTTATATTTTACAGCGCGAAATCCCGACGCTACCGGAAATGGATGCTCCGACGTGCTTCAAAGTACGTATGAAAATAATTTTCTATTCATTAAAACTTGTCAAGAGCGTGTCGGGCACGCAGTGACAGGGTTTCTTGTTAATTATTTATTAAGCACTAAACCATAGCTCTGAAACATGTATTTTGCAATAATGTAATGAATAATATATTAATAAATAAATGATAATTTATTCGCCTTAATTACATTCCCGTTCAAGCTTTTGTTTTGGTACAATGTTGCAATAATAGTTCACAAAGTTGATAGGAATCCTGAAATCGAGTTTCAGGGCGAATATCTCGACACCGGATCACTTCGTTCGTTCGTCAGCGAAGAATTTGAATGCGAACCTAGATTTAAGGAGGTGAGATGATTAATTAAGAACAGACGGAGAAAATTTGACACGGATCCATCGTTAACAAACGCCCGATGGCGACTGCTGTGGTATAGGGCGCGGGCGGCGTGGTATGTCGTTAAACCACTGGGTAACTCTCAAGTTTTGATAAAAATGTGAATTTAATAACTACAGGTCTTCAGTTAAAAAACCTGAATTTAGCAGGTTCTCTAACGAGTAAATCTCCATACAAAAATCATGTCAAAAAAGGAAGAGTTCTCAATTTGACTGTATTTTTTTTGTTAGTAAGTCACGCGATTACTCCGGTATTTGTGAATCGATTTTGATAATTCTTTTTCTATTGGAAAGAGGGTACCTTAATGTAGGTGCCAATTAAATTTGAAGAAAATATTCCAATTCCAAGGGTTCCAAACTAAGGGATGAATTCATTAGATTTCAATAAAACTTGGCAATTAGACGTAATTCCACGAACTTTTGAGATTTCAGATCGGTTTTTTAAATAATCCCTTTTATACTTTTATTTTGGCCTGGTTTCGGGATTTTATATGATCGGTTAAAGCACATCATATTGTGTAACAAATTAACACACTCGTTAGACAATATCCTTAGGTATATCGTATATTTTTGAGACCTTATTTAATAATAAATACCTAAAACATTAGACCTAGCAAAACAGTTCTCCTGTGACACGCCTTAAGTAGGAGGTAATTTAAACAAAATTGACACGATTCGAAGTACCTCAGTTTTTATTTATTTTACAGACTTGTATATAAGTGGTCTACCAGATATTGAACACTGGCATTACAAGGAACTTAGCGACGGCGACGTACATTGCAATGGAACATTGAAATACAGTTCACCACTACCTCTAAAATTGGGATGCCATAGAAGAACACAAAACTTCTTGTACAATGAAATGTATATTGAACAAACGTTAAAAAGGACTGGAGAATGTAAATAAATATATTAATAAATATCCTAAGTGCTTTAGGAGCTTCGCGTCACTAATTCAGGTGCTCTTTGGTGGTAGTTTAGTAGTTGTAGGTAGATTTCATTGTATCGAGTATATAACCAGAAATAGAGACGAAATGTCATTTAATTTGTTTGAAAACTATTCTGCCAAATCATTACGGTGACAACTGCGCTCCGATTGAAATTGTGTATAGCAATATTCACGTTAGCGATTCAACCAACAACTCACGTTTAAATAAGCAACTACCCACTTAATGTAGAATAATTTTTATACCCAATCTTTGTCGTTCAATATTTCAACTGTACTATATTTAGTTTTTCTCATGTTAAGTGAATGAAAATTCTTAGTGAGAAATAAATCTTTAAACCTAAACCTAAAATTACTCTGCCAAATCATTACGGTGACGACTGCGCTGCAATTGACCAGCCCGAATTCGAAACAATTGACGGGTGTCATCAATTGTTTCACTTCAAATCCACCAATTCAACTTGAGCTTTGCTATACTGGACGAAAATTAAAAAATTACATATTTAATGTTTAATTGCCGATGAAATGTGATTCCGTTTGTTTTGTAATTAGATGTTTTGTTGTTTTTCCACACCACCGAATGGAACAGCCCCCATTGTTAGAATATGTATATATTACAATAATTTTGGAATATACAGAGACGGACACACAGGTCAGTTGTTGGCGCTGTACTATTTCAGCTTTCTAGTTTGTGATTTTAGTGCAAACGAGTGCCGCCTGATGAGTTGCGGGAATAGATGGCCCTTATTTCGCCTTTATTGGAGGTTACATACTCGATGTTTCAGTGAAACGCTGATCCCCGAGTTGGAATCAAGAGCAGATACGTCGCTATATTGATATTAATCTAAAAGCTCTGAATAATATAGTAAAATGTTGAATACACAATCGACCTATCAGGGGGACTAAATTTATGGCAAGAGCGAGACAGATATCTCGCTAACATACGGTTGTTCTTCTCGTAGCGATCGCGATTGCGAATAATTTTCATATTCGACTCGTAGTAATTACTAATCTAGTTCTTTTTTCGTAATATCAAATGACGGAACGAGCAAGTCATGTGTGGTGGTAAGCTACGCGCGTGTCCATAACAATTGCAGTGCTATTCAGAACTTCAATCGCAAAGATCTGAGGGGCACTGCCACCGCGCCTGGCATCCTGAGACATAAGTTGATAAGTCCCATGTGCCTGTAATTTCACCAGCAGCCTTACTCTTCGAAACTGGAACCCAATAATGCTCACATTACTGCTTGGCAGCAGAAATAGGTAAAGTGGCAGTAGTAGGCTTCCAGCTTTCTGCTTACTGGACGAACTCTTACACAAGAAGCTTCTGGTATGAGCATTTCTGTGTTGGAACGAGTTTAGTATAAACCAGTCGGTTTTAATAGTCTGATACACAAGTTTGCCACTAGGTAGCGCTAATGTAATTTCCTGTTTTTACTTGGTCGGTTTACCAGTCTATCTGTCATGTCATCGCGCTTTACTTTTTATAATAAAATCTCTTTCTATGGGTTGAATCCTGGTTTATTTCTTATTAAAACCTATCATACTTCGTTTCGGTTTCGGCACATGGTACTTGTCAACTTATGTCTCAGGGCGACGGGCGCAGTGGCAGTGTCCCTAAGATCTTTGCGATTTAAAGCTCTGAATGGCAGTGCAACTGCTATGGATAGACATGTCGTTTACCACCAGGCGCACAACTTGTTCGTCCCGTCACTTGATATTATAAAAAAAAACAAGATTAGTAATTCAATTCAATTGTCCAAAATTGTTTTGTCCGCAAACGGGTTAACTCCGGACTACCTCTCTAACCGCTTGAGGCGGTTGAATTCCTGTGGCGTGTCACTTCCAGCACAACTGCAGAAGGCAGTCCTGCTCGATATGCCACGTATTGTTCGCCTATGTCCCTGACCCCAGCCGACTGTGATTTATCAGGGAATACCGCCTCTCCCACTAAAAAGAATCAAAATTAATCTTTGGCAGAGGCGAGAGTTTAAAATAGACATCCATAATAGTAATAATAATTCAATTTCAGTTTCCGGAGGGGTCGCCTACAGTAGAGATAGCGACATTTTCTTAAATGGTATAATAAATCCCAAATTTAAAGATGAGTCGGCGATTACATGCCAAACTAAATTTCCGAATTACACTTATATGTCTGTCTTCGTGCAATTCCAATATGAACCAATCAACACATTGCCAGGTCTGTATCAGCATTTATTTATTTATAACATACTTAGCTTATAATAAGTAAAAGTACATAAAATGTTGTCGCATAAAGCTATTGCAGATTTTCTGTACACCGGTGCATATCGTTACTGCTGACTGATACGATAGTCGTTCAACGATAAAATAAATGTCCACGACAAAAAAAATAACAGTCACGACAGATAATCGTGTTATGGGAACAGACTAGACGCGACAGTCCTCCAACTATAAATAAAATGTTACAACATAATGGGAACGCGCCCTGAGAAGGTATTCCGTTCCTTTCTATCCGACCAAAGGGTCGTATACGGCAAATGCATGATGCATTTTTGTTGGAAGTGTGACGAAAATATTCTTTCTCACATAAAATTATACGGTATGTTTAATTTAAAACCAAACAGGGTATGAAAATTAAATAGACTATCGCTGAGCTGCAGAATTTCCGCCATATAAAATAACGACCATTGCAGTGCAAGTAACCGGTCATAGTTTATTTGATTTTAAAATCGGAACTAATTCGTATATGAAAAATATTTTATTTACCTCGACGATTCGGACGTGTTGCAACGTCCATGTTTTCGAAAGGGCCACGTCCACTCAGTCCCTTCGTCGTAACTTAAGCGCCACATAGTGTGTAGGACCGTATTGCATTTATTTAAAAAATTACGAATTGTCATTAATCCTATCCATTACTATACATTTCAATAGCAGGGCCCAAACAAATAATGATTTCCTTCTGAAAATTCACCGCTGTGGTAATACTGACCATATTAATTGTGAATGTCCTGCTATAATTATTAGAGTTATATCTACCAAGTACTTAGGTGTTGTCTAGGATTGGCGTTTGAGTTGGCATTCTCAGGTGGAATTTATGTGTGATAAAATAAGAAAATTAACGTGGATATTTAGGAAATTAAGACATGTTGCCAGCAAAGAATTAATTAATCAAATATATATCGCCCTTGCTCAATTGGTAATGGGATATTGTATTACTGTTTGGGGTGGTGCAAATAAAACAAAATTTCTGAAAATTGAAAGAAATCAGCGGTGTTTGCTGAAAATAATGCATTTCAAACCTTTTAATAACTTAAAACCACAGACGAACTTTACAAATTCTGCGATCTTGTAACTGTCAGAAAGCTGTACGTAATGTCAACAGTTCTTTGACGTCACAAGTCTTTGCCTTTTATACCTGAAGTAATGACTAGGAAGAGGAAAGACAGAGTTGTAAAAATAATATAGTAAAATGACAAATTGTCAATTTATAAATAAATGCGTTACCGCATTGTATACTATGCAGCACTTAAGTTAGTAAGGTTAGCTGTAAAATG